GACCTTCCGTCAAGCAAAGTCAACGGGGGAAGCCAGAATCACTCAACAACTGTGTTATTAACTTAACTGCAAGGATCCGCTTAACGACAGTGGCAAAAAAGGTTGTAAAATGTGGCAAAATTCGCTTAAGAAATATCTCGCTTAGCAACAGAAATTCTGAGCTCAGTTGTGGTCATAAGTCGAGGACTACCTGTATTGCTCTTGTTTTAATACCAGACAAGGCAAAGAGAAACTAGGGCCGGTTTTGTATTATTCGGCATTATGTCAGTGAGAGCCCATTTATATATATATATATGTATGTATGTATGTATGTATGTATGTATGTATGTAGGTCTTTGGTTGTTCGGGTTTTCTCCCACGTAAAATTGGAAGTGTCTTGGCGACGTTTCGACGAAGTCCCATTCGTCATCTTCAGGCTGGTGTTTTCAGCTTCGTGCTTTGAGCAGCTGCCTGAAGATGACGAATGGGACTTCGTCGAAACAACGTCGCCAAGACACTTCCAATTTTAACGTGGGCGAAAACCCAACAACAAGACTACACAAACACCCTCGAAAACCTCAGAACATATATATATATATATATATATATATATATATATATATATATATATATATATATATTCAAATTGCAGCTTCTTCTCCTGCTATCTGTCAGGAACAGACAATAGCGTTTCACCTGGTTCATCTGGTTTGATGTTTCCCGGCAATTTATGATTCAACAATTACAAATAGTGAACTCTGGACAGAATTTTATCAATACGATAAAAACGATACGCAATAAACAAACCAGCGAGAGTGATTGTGAACGGGGACTATACGGAGAACTTTGCCATAAGGAAAGGCACAAGGCAAGGATGTCTGCTCCCTCTGCTGCGATTCATTTTCACTTTGGAAGTTTTGAACAGAAATATTAGGCAAGATCTAGAAATCAAAGGACTAGAAATAAAAGGTGAAATATATACCGTATTTTCCGGCATATAAGGCAACCCGGCGTATAAGACGACCCCCGACTTCGGCGCCGAGTCACATGCCTAGAAAGTCGTCTTATACGCCAGAAACTACCGTTATTTCCGGCGTATAAGACGACTCGGTGTATAAGACGACCCCCGACTTCGGCACCGATTTCAACGCTTTCGAAAGTCGTCTTATATGCCAGAAAGTACGGTAAATTACAAGCATTTGCTGATGATTTGGTGCTTTATTTTAAAAGAACCTTTGGAGAGGATTCCTAAACTATTGGGAAAGATAGAACAGCATGGAGAAATGGCAGGACTGAAAATAAATAGAGAAAAAAAAACAAAGTAATAGTTTAAAAACCTTACAGATAAGCAAGAAAAAAAGAGGAACAAATATCAGAAAAGACAGAATTGTTTATTGCAGATAGTTAAAAAGGTTAAATATCTGGGGATGCAGTTATTTCAGCTTCTTCTCCTGCTATCTGTCAGGAACTGGTGATAGCCTTTGATTTTATCCGGTTGCCTTGGTAATAACTAACATTATGAATCCAGTATTACCGTATTTCTCCATGTATAAGACGCTGTTTTTTTCCCTGCAAACACCCCTGTTCAAAAATCAGGTGCGTCTTATACAAGCGCAGTGTCTTATACATGGAAAAATAAGGGTAACCTCTGCAGCCCAGGGCACGCCTATGTGGGTTGCCTTGCCCCCTGCTGCGGGTGTCAAGCCCCTGTGGGTTTGTCCCTAACCGGAGAGGGGAGGGGGCAAGATCGTCGGACGGCCGAACCTCCGGATTTGCAGGCGATTGGGGCGGTGAAACTCACACGCCAGAGTGTCTTATACAAGGCACGTCTTATAGACGGAAAAATACGGTAGTTTCTCTGCCCAGTTTAAAATCCATACAGTAGTGGCCAAAATTGTGGAAACCTTTTGGGAAAAGTGTACAGTAGAAGTGCCATCTTTGGTTAAGTTTCCACCCATTTTTCTTCTAATTTCTTTATAACTGTAGCCTTGTCCACTTAATAATACTATTTTACATCGCTTTCTGGGTGACCAGTCAACTCTTCGCACCATGACTTTAATTTTATTACGTTTTACAATCTCACTAAATGAAAGAACACAAAAAACCCCCCAACCAACGTGATGGCCATCACGTAACACAGTGACAAATGTCCTCCTCTCGGCTTCAATACATGACATCAATCACTGAATCCTACTGTGATCCGATTGGCTCATTGCCAAAACAAGATGACACCTGATTGGCTCTCTAAACACTCATGTTCACTGCCTCCAGAAGTGATGAATGCTCCAACACTGGAAGTTATTAAGAAGAGACTGGACAGCCATTTGTCCAAAATGGTATAGGGTTACCTGCCTGAGCAGGGGGGTTGGACTTGATGACCTCCACGGTCCCTTCCAACTTTATTATTATTATTGGCTACAATCGGATGAAGGAAAGCTACCTGAGATCAACCTAAGCAAGTTGTGCTTCCTTTTTCTGGTTATTGGGCTATAACTTTTCATAGAATACAGTACAGATAATTGAACAAACTACGTTGCATTACATTCTTGATTAAATTATCTTTCCATTAATATATAATTTTATAGTAGTGCTCCCCCCCAAAAAAGTGGTGTTATTAGCCATCAAACGTCAAAAATACACTTTTTCCCAAAAGGTTTCCACAATTTTGGCCACTCCTGTAAGAAGGGAGAGAAAAAGCTACGTGGGGGAGAGAACTACTTCATTCTTGTAAGCAGCTTTGGGAAGGATCAGATAGGATAAGACAGAGAGGGTAGTTTACGTTTTTTTTAAAAAAAGTTAAGTCGGAAGCTTGTCGTAGGCGATCAAAGAGCCAATGAAGTTGTCCTGCGGAACGGAACACAAGCCTTGTGCGTTAATGAGTTGCTGAGTCTCTCTCAGCAAAGGCCACCAGGTCTCCTGCTTAGTGGGTTTCTTCGCCTTTTATTTTGAGAATGTGAAAACAGGTTTTTTTACGGGTGAGAAAGCGGCAGATCTGGAGAGACAAACTCCATTAGAGCACAACACGAATCAATCACCAGCCAAGATAAAAAGAGACAGCCTTAATGGAAAGGACTATCTCAGATCGATGTTGAATCACCTGGCTGTTATTTTATCCTGTGAATTTTAACCAGTGGAACAGCGTTTGCCTTCGGAAGTCGTGGGCGCTCCACCACCGGAGGTTTTTAACAAGAGACAGGACAGTCACTTGTCTGAGATGGTATAGGTTCTCCTGCTTGAGCAAGGGGCTGGACTAGAAGACCTCCAAGGTCCCTTCCAGCAAGGAAAGTCATAACATGGGACAAAACTCACTTAACAACTGTCTCGCTTAGCAACATAAATTCTGGGCTCAAGAGTGGACGTTGTTGCAACTTTTTGTTTCTAAGAATCCTTTTGGGTGAAGGCTGAGGATGTCGATGTATAAAGAAATTTCACACGGTAAAATAAACGATCCCAAAAGCAGTGGTCAGGTAAGAAATGTCCAAATTCCTGATGGCTAGATGGTGATACATCTGTACACGACTCACCTGTACAGGTAGCCCTTGATTTACGGCCACAACTGAGCCCCAAATTTCTGAGCAGGATGTAAATTGTACCACCTTTTTTTTTTGCCACTGTTCTTAAGTGAATCACGTGATTTCGGGACTGTTGTGAATCCTCGCCAGCCAGTGGACCCGGCAGCTGAGTCTGAGGAATCAGAGGAGGAGGAGGAGGAGGGGCCTGGAGTGACATCAGAGTTAGAGGAAGGCTCTGAGGAGCTCCGAGACTTACAGTCGGACGAGGAACCTGGCCCCTCTACTCGCGCTCAGGCTGGGACCCAGCTGTGCTGGGAGCCTGAGTTGGACAGTGATGAAGAACAGCTGGGACAAATCCCGGATGCACAAATGCGCAGGCAAGAGAAGCGAGTAGGACAGAGGAATGCAATGGGGCGGCTCCAAAGGCAAAGGAGAAGGCATTAGGAAGCCACGCCTTGGCTGAATTATAAAAGGGAAGGTGTGGGAGGTGCTGGAGCCATTCGTGTTGAGGATCTAGTTTTTGTGGACTGCGTTTGTTTGCCTTGGACACTGACTCAGGTCTGTGAATAATAAAAGGGGATTGGTTTTTTCCTGCGGCTCCAGCTTGCTTGTTGAAAGACGGGTTTCTCCTTGTGAGCATAACAAGGACTCTCGTAGGCTGGGACAGAATAGGGACACTGCAACCATCATGAAGGTGAACCAGTTGCCAAGCATCCAAATTTAGGTCACGTGACCATGGGGATGCTGCAACAGTCGTTAAGTGGGAAAAACAGTCAAAAGTCACTTTTTTAAGTGATGTTCTGCATCCCTTGCCTTTTTTTTTTTTTTTTTTCTTATTCTGGCCCTTCTCAGAAACCCAATTGTTTCTCCTAACTTTACTTCCACTTCTTCCATTTCCCCTGAACCTTTATAGTTTTCTTCAAGGGTATGGAATATTACAGAAATTAACATACTAAAGAAATGGTGAAATTATGAACAGATTTCCCTAAATCTGGAGAGGGGGAAAAAAAGACCACGACACTGGCATTCAATTCACCAGCTGGACAGCCATTCATCTGGGAATGGTGTAGAGTTTCCTGCATGAGGAGGGGGTTGGACTAGAAGACCTCCAAGGTCCCTTCCAACTGTTATTCCGTTATTCTCATTTGCAAGAGGTACAGATGTTGCCGCAGAAAGCTGGAAAGAACATTTTTGTTAAAATAAAAGCCACATCTGGCCTTGGGCTTTATATTATGCTGCATTATTTTAGAAACATTAGTACTCATTCACATTCAGACAGCTTCCTTCCCTGCTTGCTATGATTTGGAACAAATATTGAAAACCGATTTGGAACAAATATTGAAAAGGTTGAAGCCGAAATGTTCCCAGAGCAAATGCAAAGAGTCATATACGCATTATACTGAAAGGCTAATTTTATGTTTTGCTATTTTGCATTGTTAAACCGTTTTAACGATGTTTCTCGTCTCTCAAACTGACAATAAATTTTTTAAAAAGTGGAATGATACATACATGACTGTATTAATACCTGCCAGCTGTTGGAACATTTGTAAACTACAACCCACGATCAATTGTCTTCGAGTGGGTGCATAGCTCAGCATTCGGTAGATCACCGGTCCAGCTTCAAAAGAAAGAAAGAAAAAAAGAAAAAAAGTTTTAATTCATTTAGGGTTTTCGCCCTGGATTTTCTGCATATAATTCTTTTTATAGCATACATCCTTAGTATAGGTCAGGGGTAGGCAACCTTGGCTCTTTTATGACTCGTGGACTTCAACTCCCAGAATTCCTGAGCCAGCATGGGGGAACTATGGCCCCCTTCATGACTAGTGGACTTCAACTCCCAGAATTCCTCAGCCAGCCTGGCTCAGCTTGGAAACCTCTCCCTTTCCCCTCAGCATGGCTGGCTCAGGAATTCTGGGAGTTGAAGTCCACAAGTCATAAAAGAGCCAGGGTTGCCTACCTCTGGCCTAGGCCTAGGCCGCTTTCTGACTCGTGGAGTTCAACTCCCAGAATTCCTAAGCCAGCTTGGCTCAGCTTGGAAACCTCTCCCTTTTCCCTCAGCATGGCTGGCTCAGGAATTCTGGGAGTTGAAGTCCACGAGTCATAAAAGAGCCAAGGTTGCCTAGCCCTGGCATAGATAGTCTTTGACTTATGGTCATAACTGAGCTCAAAGTTTCCATTGTTCAGTGAGATAGTTGTTAAGTGAGTTTTGCCCCATTTTATGACCTCTTTCCAGAGTTGTTAAGTGAATCATTGCAGCTGTTCAGTTAATAACCTATTGGTTAAATTAATCTGACTTCCCAGTTGACTTTGCTTGTCAGAAGGGTGCAAAATGAACTGTGATGACCCAAGGCACAGCACAAAGGCAATGCAGACAGCTGGCAAGGTAAAGAGTTCTTTAATGGTTGCAAATTTCCTCCAAATGCTCCCACATTTGCTGGCAAGCCTCCAGCCCAAATACCCACACACACACCTTCCAGCCGACTCTGGCTGAAAGCAGTTTCAATACAGCCTGATTAGTAGACGAATGTCCTCAAGGCCATAAAGGTAACAAACCAAACCAAACATCAAGTTAATGAGTCCCGCTTGAATCTCGGCTTGCCTGCCTGCACCGTTTGCAAAGAGAAAAGTCAAAATGCAGTCTAAGGTCATCATTCAGCAAATCCACCTGATCAGCCGGTCTGGTCATCAAGGCATTCGGGCATAAAACAAGAGCAACAATACACAACTTTCCCAAGATTTAACGTTTGTTCCCGACAAAGTCCCCAATAAAGGTTATCTATCTATCTATCTATCTATCTATCTATCTATCTATCTATCTATCTATCTATCTATCTATCTATCTATCTGTTAAGTGTCTAAAAAGCCTAACAAACTGGTTTAATTAGAAGTTTCAACCCTGACCAATGAAATGTTATAAACAAAGTGGCTAAAAAGGCTGGCTGGTAAATTACAAAACTCTTGCGGCAAGCTGGGCACGCAGGTGATTTGTGAAGCAAGCTACCGTTTTTAAGGGTCTTAATCTATCCCCGTTTGCGGGAATAAAACAGAGGGTTTAAAAAAAAAATAATGCAAGAGCCTCGATCGCATATAAAGAAAGCGATTTAATGAAAGTGGAAAGGGAATTTAGATGACCCTACAAAGAGGACCCCAAAAGTCCTAAGAGTAGAAATTTCACTGACGGGAGATAGTAGCCAGGATAATAACCACTTCTGTCATATCCGTCTCCATAATGAAGTTTGCCTTTATTGATGGATTACTAGGTCCAAAAGATGTTATTGAAAAAATGTCAGCTAGAGCAGAGGTCCTCAACCTCCAGTCCGTGGACCGGTACCGGGCCACAGCATACCAGCAACCGGGCCGCACAAACAAGCAAAGCCCCATCCGCAGGATGCAGGCAGCACACAAAACCACACCCCCTCCGGTCCGCGGAAAAACCTCTCTCCACGGAACCGGTCCCTGGTGCCCCAAAAGTTGGGGACCTCTGAGCTAGAACAGAGGTCCCCAACCTGTGGTCCGTGGCCCACTAGTGGGCCGTGAGGGGTTTGCAATCGGGCTGCGGAAGAGGCCGGCGAGCGCACGCTGCTCGCGCAGAACCGTCCCTTCCCGTTCTGACATGTTTCCCCGGAAATGTTGGGGAAGTCTGAGCGGGCAAACAAATCCTATTTGACAAGACAGAGATGGTATCAAAAGTGGATACAAAGCTGAGAGATGAAGACGATGTTTTAGAAAAAGAGGCTTCACTGGCTCTACAAAAGAAACTAGCTGAGAATTTAAAAATTTAAAAATGCAAGTGACCGTACAACTGAGAGAATTTTTTTCTTTCTTCTTTTTGGATGTACAAAAAAGTCTTCTTAAACCTGGTTAAGGCGGGGTGATAGGGCAAGGAAAGAAAGAAAACAAATTCTACCACACTAATTAGAATGAACTACAGATTAGCAGAGTTAGAAAAGGAATGTAAAGTTGGTGTGCTTGATTTTCTGTATTTATTTATATATCCTATTCAAAACCACCAATCTCCCTCATAGAGCAACTGATTAAGGTTAAAATAAGATGTTACTTTTGGTTTCCTTTTATGTAATTTCTTTTTGTTGACGCCAGGACTGAAAAGATATGTTTCATGAATAAAGAGATAAATGCTAATAACCTTAAAGGAGGTGTGTGTGTGAAGAGCCACTATTTTGTTATACTGTATTTTCCGGCGTATAAGATGACTTTCTAAAGCATGGAAATTGGCGCCAAAGTCAGGGGTCGTCTTATTTATGAGACTTATTTATTTATTTATGAGACTTATATACCACTTTAAGTGCAAGCACTCTCTAAGCGGTGTACACCAGTAAGCAATGTATATATATATTTACATTGCCCCCAACAATCTGGATCCTCATTTTACCTACCTCAGAAGGATGGAAGGCTGAGTCAACCTTGAGCCGGTGAGATTTGAACCGCTGACCTGCTGAACACAAGTCAGCTAAAGTGGCCTGCAGTACTGCACTCTAACTGCTGCGCCACCTCGGCTCTTATACGCCGAGTCGTCTTATACGCTGGAAATTACAGTAGTTTCTGGCGTATAAGATGACTTTCTAGGCATGGAAATCGGCACCAAAGTCGGGGGTCATCTTATACGCCAAGTTGTCTTATACGCCGGAAATTACGGTATATATTTGTTCTGATGAAGGTTGGAATTTACATGTTTTTTCCCTTTTTCTTTTATTATATTCTAACTCTCTTTTTTCTTTTCTCATTTTTCCCCTTGCCCCTTTTTACTCATTTTTATTCTTTTTTTCTTCAAGTTACAGTGTTAGGATAATACTTTATTGCTTGTAAAAGTCTCGCTTACATAAATTTTGGGCTCAGAGAAGTACAGTGATACTCTACATTGCTCACTTTATTACAAATATTTAGCAATGCACAACAGCTTTTATTTCAATTTTGCTAAGGAGGAGATCAGTTCTGTCACTCAATGTTAATTATTGTCTGTTCTCCTTATGTTACTTCCTGGCAAAACATCTCCAACTACCCCCCACGCATTTTCAGTTTATTGTACTACTAATCTAACAATGGTTTTAAATTTAGAATATGTATACAATAATCACTGTGGGTCATTATGTAAGCGGTGAGCAGATACAAGCCTTTATTAAAAACAAAATTACAATTTAAACATAATCAAAGGAACAGATATTTCACAAAATACTTTTTAAAAAAAGATAGGTTCCATGCTCAAATTAAAACAAGGGTTATATAATTGTTTTTCAATTCTTTCATACATGAAATGTTTATTTTTTAAAAAATATTTTATTTAAGAATACTTTGAGGCAGCTGTGTATGTCTCCCCTATTTCTTCTTTTCTTTAGACTGGCCAAACCCAAGTCCCGTAGCCGTTCTTCGTATGTTTTGGTCTTCAGGCCTTGGATCCTCTTAGTTGTTCTTCTCTGAATTTTTTCCAGACTCTCAACATCTTTTTTTGTGATACGGTGACCAAAATTCCAGGTGTGGTCTTACTAGGGCTTTATAAAGTGGTACTAGCACTTCGTGTGATCTTGATTCTATGCCTCTGTTTATACAACCCAGGATTGTGTTAGCTTTTTTGGTTGCTGCTGCACACAGCTGGCTCATGGCCAAGTGATTGTCCACTAGGACTCCAAGGTCCCTCTCACAGTTACTGCCTCCAAGCCAGATCTCGCCCAATCTGTATTTGTTCCTTTGGTTTCTCCTTGCTTTTCTCCACATTTATTGTTCTCGCTGTCAGGAAATTTCTCCTTAGTTCTAGGTTGGCTTTCTTACTGATTAGTTTCCATTCATTGCTTCTTGTTCTGCCTTGTTCTCCCTTCTGCCTTGCATTAATGATTCACCTGTGGAGATGGTTACCAGCATCAAATTCTTGGGTGTGCAGCTAACGAGGAGGCTGACTTGTTCGCTCAACAGCGAGACACTGGTGAAGCGGGCACAGCATCGCCTGCATTTTCTGCGTCACATGAGAAAAGCACATCTTCCTTCCCCTGTCCTGACCACTTTCTACAGGGGGACGATCGAGAGCATCCTGTCGTGCAGCATCACAGTCTGGCTTGGAGGCATCCCTGCTTCAGACAGGAAGGCAGTGCAGAGAGTGGTGAGGACAGCTGAAAAGATTATTGGCAGTTCCCTCCCTCCCGTCCAGGACATAGCACAGAAGCGCTGCTTGAGCAGGGTCCGCAAGATTATCTGGGACACTACACACCCTCTCCACGACCTATTTTCCTTGTTACCTTCTGGGGGGGGGGGCTTCGTGGTATCCGTAGCAGAACATCCAGATTCAGCCATAGTTTCATTCCATACAGCATTAACCTTGTGAACTCTCAAGCTTCCTCTTTCCAATATATATTCAAGATGGACAGTATTTAATATTTATTTGCTACGTATACGTAGGGGTGTGGGTCTATACATATGCTGCATATAATATGTTTAGGTGTGTGTCATGTTTGTGTTTCACTTTGAGAGTGGGCAACTAAATTTCATTTTTGATGTGTGCCGTTGTGCCCACGGTAAAAAAAAATACCAATAAAGGTTATCTTATCTTATTTTATCTTATCTTATCTTGTCTTATCTTCTGACAGTGAGAACAACCAATCAATGGAATAGCTTGCCTTGCAGGGCGGGCTATGGGCACTTTGTCATGGGAGGTTTTCAAAAATAGTCTGGACCACCATTTGACCAAGATGGTTTAAGGCAGTGTTTCTCAACCTTGACAATTTTAAGGCATGTGGACTTCAACTCCCAGAATTCCACAGCCAGCAATGAGGTACCGTCCATTTTTACGATTCTAATGCATTCCATTATGTAGATCGGCCGGCTTAGACACTGGAGGAAGAGAATGGTAAAGAGTTCCCATATTCTTGTACTGTCTCTCTTATGAATGATTCAGAACTATCTAGCACAGTGGTTCTCCACCTGTGGGTCGGGACCCCATTTGGGGTCGAATGACCATTTCACGGGGGTCGCCAAATCATGCTGTCCACCATTTTTTTCCCTTTTCCCTAGCTGTCCTACTCCCTCTTATTGGTGGCCACACCCACTTGGGGGTCACCACAACATGGGGAACTGTATTATGGGGTCATGGCATTAGAAAGGTTGAGAATCACTGATCTAGCAGAAGCTGGTGAACCATGAATTTTTAGGGGCTGGAGGCTAAAACAGATGAAGAATGGTTGCAGGAATTGGTATGTCTAATCTAGAGAAAAGAAGGATTAAGGGTGACATGACAGCAGAGTGCCAGTAGTTGACGGGTTGCCACAAAGAAGAGGGGGGTCAAGCTATTCTCCAAAGCACCAGAAAGCAAGAAAAGAAACAATGGATGGAAACTAATCAAGGAGAGAAGCAACCTAGAACTAAGGAGAAACTTCCTAATAATCAGAAGAATTAACCAGTGGAATGGCTTGCCGTCAGAAGTTGTGGGAGCTCCAACACTGGAGGTTTTTAAGAAGAGATTGGACAACCACTTATCCGAAATGGTATAGACTAATCTCCTGCTTGAGAAGGGGTTGGACTAGATGACCTCCAAGGTCCCTTCCAACTCTGTTATTCTGTTACTTTCCTGGTGTTAATTAAGTGATAAGCATAAGAGACATGATCATTAACTAACGGAGGAAAAAAAAATCTCGAAGCCTCATCAGCGGAGCAATTGTTGTCACTTCCAGAGTTGATTAATTCATCGGAGGATTCAACCTCAACCCATTTACCAGATGTTAGTGTGAAAATGGTATCTCTCCCAAATTATATAAAAAAACAAAAGCAAAGCATAACCTATTAAGGCCCGCAGTTGGTTAGCTATTGCAGGCTGGGGTGTTTCTTTCTGAAAAAATAAACTGGAAACGTTTGACGTCCTTAAACAACCTTGCTTTTTGGACTTTTCAATTATCGTGAACTGCGTGATTTTAAGTTCATTGCTTTCAAAAAAATAATATATATTAAACTCCCCAATGCCCTTGCGCACATTGCTGTTCTTGTTGCTAAGCTACACTGGAAAGGGATTTTGCGAAAGTGTGGACCGTGATGAGCTCAGGGTGCTGAGAATTATCCTCCACATTCCCCATAGCTAAAAACAAACCCTGTAAAAATTCAAAAGCACGTTTCAGAGAGTTATTAAACCGGTTTGCTAATATACATCCGGCCATATTCTTATGGTGGTTAAACATGTGCCTGAAAAAAGGAAAAAATCTTGGCCGTAGCTTACAAATCAAAACAACAGAATAGAGCTGGAAGGGACCTTTGAGGTCTTCTAGTCCAACCCCCCTGGCTCAAGCAGGGAACCGTATATCAGGGGTAGGCAACCTTGGCTCTTTTATGACTCGTGGACTTCAACTCCCAGAATTCCTGAGCCAGCCACGCTGAGGGGAAAGGGAGAGGTTTCCAAGCTGGCTGGCTCAGGAATTCTGGGAGTTGAAGTCCACGAGTCTTAAAGTTGCCAAGGTTGAGGACCCCTGATATAGGGCAGGGTAGGAAACCTTGGCTCTTTTATGACTCGTGGACTTCAACTCCCAGAATTCCTGAGCCAGCATAAGGGAAACTAAGGCCCTTCATGACTCGTGGACTTCAATTCCCAGAATTCCTGAGCCAGCATGGCTCAGCTTGGAAACCTCTCCCCTTCCCCTCAGCATGGCTGGCTCAGGAATTCTGGGAGTTGGAAGTCCACGAGTCATAAAAGAGCCAAGGTTGCCTACCCCTGCCCTATACCATTTCAGACAAATGGCTGTCCAGTCTCTTCTTAAAGACTTCCAGTGTTGGAGCATTCACCGCTTCTGGAGGCAGGTTGTTCCACTGGTTAATTGCTCTAACTGTCAGGAAATCTCTCCTTAGTTCTAGGTTGCTTCTCTCCTTGGTTAGTTTCCATCTGTTGCTTCTTGTCCTGCCTTCAGGCGCTTTGGAGAATAGCTTGACTCCCTTCTTCTTTATGACAGCCCATGTCAATGTAAAACATATTGAAAGAGGTTCCAAATGTGCATATTTGTGTATTGTGGGAAGGACAGGAAAGAAACAAAAGGAAAGTATTTGATGGTCAAATATCCATTGGTTTGCTGGTAGAGAGTGCCAGCTTTAGAACATAGAATAAGAGAGTTGGAAGGGACCTTGGGGGTCATCTAGTCCAACCCCCTGCTCAAACAGGAAACCCTATATCATTTCAGACAAATGGTTGTCCGGTCTCTTCTTAAAAACCTCCAGTGTTGGAGCACCCACAACTTCTGCTAGCTGAAACAGTTTCAAATCTACTACAGGTAGGTCACTTAATGACAGTTTGAAGGTACAGCAGCGCCGAGAAAAGTGACTTATGATCCTTTTTCACCCTTAATACCTACCACTGCAGCACGGTCATGTGATCAAAACTCAGAGGCTTGGCAACTGACTCATAGTTATGACGGCTGAAAGGTCCCAGGACAAGATTCAGCAGTCCATCTACATTTAAAAGACAAAGGCCACCCTTTTGAAGACAAAAAAGTCTACTTTTTGGACAGAGAGGACCGCTGGTTTGAAAGAGGGGTCCAAGAGGTCATCTAGGTCAAAGCAGAACAGCCCTCCCTCCACAGAGGGGGGGGGGATAGGACACCCTCTATCTCCAGTCTTCAACACGGTCCTTTCAGCAGTTCCAAGAAGGCTCCACACCCATCTGCACCACTCGGGTGACCTTCAGGACACAGGTAAGCCTCCAAGTGGCCTCAACGACTCTCTACAACAGTGGTTCTCAACCTGTGGGTCGGGACCCCATTTGGGGTCGAACGACCATTTCACGGGGGTCGCCAAACAACGCAGTCTGCCATTTTTTCCCCCTTGTCCTTAGCTGTGCTACTCCTTTTTATTCTATTGGCTTTTGAAAGCCAATAGAATAGACTCTCTTGAATAGAGTCTAATTCTTTGGCTTTCAAAAGCCAATAGGAATTGTCCAGGCTGTCTCTGCCCTGCTGAGCCCGCCAAAAGTCCCATTCTGCAAACGGTGCTGCACCAGTTGAGTAGTCCTTGACTTACGACCGGTTGAGTAGTTCGACTTACGACCGGTTGGGGGTCGCGGCATTAAAAAGGTTGAGAACCACTGCTCTACAAGAAGGCAAATGACCAGCTGTCTGCAAGGTGTATAAATCCTTCCCTTCCCCACCATCCAGTCAGAGCGGAAGAAGCTTCTGGGATGAGAAGCGAAAGGCCTTCAAAGGAAAAACAAGGAAGTCACGTTGCCTCGTGAAGAAGCACCTTTGGGACAAACCTTGACCTGGATGACGGAGCATCTCCATAGAAACTTATTAAAATGCCGCTACACAATTGCAGCCGGTTGATTAAACCAGGGCTTTTCAACCTTTTCACCCCTTGTACCACTTTTAGGATATGGCAGCATCTGAGCACCACCAGTCGCCTAGCATGGTGTCAAAAACTTGATGAACAAAAAGAAAAGAAAAGAAAAGAAAGAAAGGGATAAAGTACAGGTAGTCCTTGACTTACAACAATTCGCTTAGTGACTGTTCGAAGTTACAATGGCACTGAAAAAAATGCCTCCCAAGCCACAGACGAGCAAGATACCTGCCTGCCCGCCCTACACCGTTCTTCCTCCTGTCCAAGGTTTTCACTGTTGTCTTGAGGATTGGCAGCAGGGGTGGAGTAGGGGGGGGGGTGATTGGTTTTTTTTCCCCCCGTTTGCTGGGTGGTTGCAGCAGGTTTTGGTCACTTCACATGACCCTGGGACACTGTGACCGTCATAAATACGAATCAGTGGCCAAGCGTCTGAATGTAAATCACAAGATCCTGGAGATGCTGCAGCATTCCAGCTGATCAGCGCTTCTTCTGGGCTCAGCAGAAGTACCAGGATCAGTGCTGCTTTCCAGCTGATTGGTGCTTCTTCAGAGCTCAGCAGAAGCATCAGGATCAGTGCCGAGCTCCAGCTGGAGCCTGGCGCTGATCCTGGCACTTCCGCTGAGCCCTGACAGCCCTGCAGCTCCAGCCGTCTCTTGCTCCGGCTTGTGCGGTGCTGCCACCGGTTCAGCTCATTCCCCTCCCCTGCTACCACTTTTCTAGGATGGTCACGTACCACCTGCCAGGTGCCAATGTACCACAGGTGGTACCCGTACCACTGGTTAAAAAGCCCTGGATTAAACCATATGCCAAGAAGAAGAAAAATTCCCGCCTACCTGTGCCCACTTCCTTGTCTTCCTCCTCAATGCTGTTCTTGATGCTCTCGAATTCGTCGTCTATTGTCTGATTTCCCCGCATCCGCGAAAGAATTCTTCGTGCTTTTTGAATCTGTCCTTTCTGAATCAGCCAGCGGGGGCTTTCCGGAAGAAAAAGGAAACCAACGAATTGTACGACAGCTGGAATCGCGGAAAGACCCAGCATATACCTACAGGGAAAGAAATAATTTTTTTTTTAATATTCGGTTTGTTAACATTCTCTTCCTAGAAAAAGAACAGGAGTTTAAAGCTTTGGATATTTTCTTCGGGGACTCCCTGCAGATAGATCTTGACTGACCACCACAGCTGGGCTCAACACTTTCGTTGTTAAGTGAGGCAGTTGTTAAATGAGGTTTTTGCCCCAATTCACCTTTCTTGACCCAGTTATTAAGGAAATCATAGTGGTTGTAAAGTTAGTAAGGGAATCTGGCTTCCACATTAAGTGTGGGAAATAGTCGCAAGTCACTTTTTTCAACGCCGTTGTAACTTTGAATGGACACTGACTGAACTGTTTTAAGTCAAGGGGCTACCTCTATTATTCGAAGCACGCAGAAGACCGTAAAAGAGCAGTCTATATTCTATATTTCACATCAGCCTATTCCGATAAATCCTACATTTCAGACATATCGTGCAGCGGCTTCCTCAGCATCAACACACAAAGTCTGAATTATGATGGGAAAGACGCAAGAGGGAAAGTTTAATGAAAAGTACTGTTTATTGTTCTCTGAATTTTAACCCAATCATGCGTGGTTTTACTACAACCGTATAAAAATACTGGAACTAAGCTAAGCTCCTTGGCTCTCCTAAAATTTAAGTGCTTGTTAGCACTTTCTTACAAGATATAACTCACACAGACTAAGTGAATATTCCCTTGGTATTGGGGAATTGTTATGCATGTCTTCAGACTTGGTTTCACATCTGAAGTGCCGATACTCTGTTATCAATAAACATGTTGTCTGAGGAATTTGCAAGCCTGGGAGTTCTGCTTTATTCGTCTCTGTTGATCGGAACCTTGACAGTATCCAAGATATCAACACAGTTTCCCTGTTGCATTGTTAAAAAGCTTTAAAGTTTTCATTACACTAGAATAAATCCATGTTGTATGAAAACATTCCATTAGCTTCTTCTATAAAAGCATTTCACATGTACCAGATATTGGAGTCAACAGGAAAGAGGAAGGAAGGACGGAAGGAAGGAAGGAAGGAAGGAAGGAAGGAAGGAAGGAAGGAAGGAAGGAAGGAAGGAAGGAAGGAAGGAAGGGAGGGAGGGAGGGAGGAGGGAGAAGGAAGGAAGGAGGGAGAGGAAGGAAGGAAGGAAGGAGAAAGGAGAAAGAAGGAGAAAGAAAGAATGAAAGAATGAAAGCAAGAAAGAAAAGAAGGGAGGAAAAAGAAAAGGAAGGAAGGAAGGAAGAAAGGAAGGAAAAAGAAAGAAAGAAAGAAAGAAAGAAAGAAAGAAAGAAAGGAAACAAGGAAGGAGAAAGAAAGACAGAATAAAAAGGAAAGAAGAAAGAAGAAAAAAGAAGGGAGGGAGGGTGGGAGAGGAAGGAAGGAAGGAAGAAATAAAAGAAAAGAAAGAAAGGAAGGAAAGAAAGAAAGAAAATTTGTTTTCTTCTATATAAACATCCTCTGGAATATTAAACTCTTCCTAAAAATAGTGGTAAAAAAAGATTACACTCACTTGAGGTCACTTAATACTCCATCTATCTCATTGTCAGGCTCAAATAACCAGGAGCATTCATTGAGTTCAAAGCATAGCGGAGTTTATTATTGTTACCTATGCCCAAGAATCTGGCCAACCAACTTTCAAAATTAAATAGGCTCTAGATAAGGGTGAACAGAATTCACAGGGGAATTCTGGACGTGGGTCTCTTGTGGCTACGCAATGACTCCAAACTGATGACATATTTAACTCCACCCTTCCAGCTCAGCTCAGTTGCAGCGGGAAGCAAACTGACAACCAGTTTGCAAAGCAAAGATGTTACATGGGTAAATGGAGGCAGGACGTCGTGAAAAATTAGCCCCTTAAGAGACATTAATTGGTGGCGGTGCCTTCCTCTACAATCACTGCAACCAGATCTTTCCTATGGTTGATGATCCATCTCTCACCTTGTCATCCAGGGAGCCCTCAACTTACAACAGTTCATTCAGTGACCATTTGAAGTTACAATGGCACGGAAAAATATGACTTACAACCGTTTTCCACACACACCATCCCCACAGTCACGTGATCAAACTTCAGACGCTTGGCAACTTGGCAATATTTATGACGGTCTCAGTGTCCCGGGGGAGAGGGTTTGTCATGTGAATCCCTTCTGTGACCTTCCGGCAAGCAAAGTCAATGGGGGGGAAGCCAGATTCACTTAACAACCGTGTTACTAAGTGACTTAACCCTGTTAATTGAAACTCCAGTGTTTCACTTAACAACTGTAGCAAGCAAGCTCGTAAAACGGGGACAAAACTCACTTAACAAAGGCCTCGCTTAGCAACAGATATTTTGAGCTCCATTGCGGTCGTAAGCTGAGAACTCTTGTTTAGGGATTCATTCATAGCAAAGGAATTCAACCCCAAATAAATAGACAAGACAGAAAATACTCATTGTTTTGAACACCCAGGGGATGTAAACAAAATTTATTTCGGGTCTGTGACTTGCTTCTATATAAAATGAAAGAACTGGGGTGTGTGATTTCATTTTAAAGTTTTAAAAAAAACCATACCCACCTCCATCCACCCCTGGGAAGGTAGCTGAAGGCTCCATCTATAACACTGGCAAAGAACTGCCCGCCTGTGATGAAAAGTGTATTTATAGTCACTAATCTGCCTCTCAGATGAGGTGGGGCCACTTCTGCAATGTAGACAGGAACTGTCATAGAAGCAATACCTACAAGAGATAAACAGAGTAATCATTAGAGAGAAGCTGTTTAAAAAAATTAAAATCACAGGCACGTAAAGTCGGCTAAAACCTTGGCGTTAGGAAGTTAGGAAGGCATGTTGAAATGATGCCTCATTTTTAGGAAAGCATTAAAAAAAATCAATTCGTGTTATTTTCAACCTAGCGAGCACGGCTCTAAATATTCATTTCTGCCTGAGAAGGCAAACATTTCATGTTTTTAAATCATATACAATTTTAATCTTCTTTTTGATCATGAAAAACCCATGAAGGAGGAGGAGGAGGAGGAGGAGGAGGAGGAGGAGGAGGAGGAGGAGGAGGAGGAGAAGCAGCTCTTAGTTCCTCTGCCAGCTCTGAATTAAATGGACAGAACTAAAAATGTGTGACTGACACCTGTCCAAGCATCCTCAATTAATTAGCTGGTTAGACTAATTAGCTAGTCAGGCTATATTAAGTACACAGGATGCATCTAACACCAGAATAGGTAGATAAACGTGTTATAATATTTATAACAGAGCCAGTCTGGTCTAGCAGTTAAGGCACCAGGCTAGAAAGCAGGAGACTGTGAGTTCAAATCCTGCCTTAGCCATCAAAGCCAGCTGGGTGACTCTGAGCCAATCACCAGGAGGCAGAGAGTTCTACTCCCGCCTAAGCCATCAAAGCCAGCTGGGTGACTCTGAGCCAATCACCAGGAGGCAGAGAGTTCTACTCCCGCCTTAGCCATGAAAGTCAGTTGGATGACTTTGGGCTAGTCCAGTGTTCTCAACCTTTTTAATGCCGCGACCCCCAACCGGTCGTAAGTTGAGGACTACTCAACCGGTCGTAACTCGAGGACTACTCAACTGGTGCAGCACCATTTGCAGAATGGGACTTTTGGCGGGCTCAGCAGGGCAGAGACAGCCTGGACAATTGCTATTGGCTTTTGAAAGCCAATAGAATTAGACTCTATTCAAGAGAGTCGATTCTATTGGCTTTCAAAAGCCAATAGAATAAAAGGGAGTAGCACAGCTAGGGGGGGGGGAAATGGCGGACTGCGTTGTTTGGCGACCCCCGTGAAATGGTCATTCGACCCCAAATGGGGTCCCGACCCACAGGTTGAGAACCACTGGGCTAGTCCTTCTTTCTCAGCCCAACCTGATCATGGACACGATCACCATGAAAAGAAATAAATAGATTAGATTGTGCCCAGTTGCTATGTGTTTTTATTCTTATTTTGCTTTTTACATTTTTATTTATTGCAAGCTGCCCAGAGACACCTAAAAGAAGGGCAGCTGTACCAACTGGGCAAATAAATGAACTTAAATTAGAACGAGAGTGGAAATATTGTCACGAGACCTTCACACTTCAGCCCTTTCAAATCTGTCAGATTTAATGTTATGAAAATCAATTTTAGCTTAGCTAAGATGTCCATCAAATAAAAACAAGCCGTAGTAATTAAGGAGCTTAGAACCCTTGTTTTTAAGAGTGCCCAAATCTTAGATATAAATAAACGATTTCCAGGTGAAACTGAAACTAATATTAATCTTGTTTTAAAAAGTAGATTTCCGTAATCTTTTGACATTTTTATTGCTAGGCTGCCAACAATAAAATATTTTATTGGTGTAAATCTGCATATATACTTTATCACACTAGGTAAGTCACATCACTGAAAATAAACTTTAATCCCTAGAATACCCATGTTTGTTCCTATCACTGCAGAAGATCTAAGAACCGGCAATCAAAACAACAATGTTCAAAGCTTATTTGCAATATAAGTGACTATAGTGAAAAAACAAAATAGCTGTATTACCTGCCCTAGCTGCAACCTTTGGACAAACACACAAGCACAAATGTAACACACATATCAACATAAATGCGTTCAGGAGGACAGCAGACATACTATCCGTTGTCATGGTAACCAATCATGACATGCAACTTTACAAGACAGCCCGTGAACGACAGGTGTCACTTTGTACTCAGTTGCCAAGAAGATTGACAATATATTTATATTGCACAACATTATGAAGCAGAGATATCAAAGGACTACCACTAAGTTACAACCTGTAGTGTAGAAGAACGTCCCTTTTTAAAATAGTTACATAAAGTTTTCTATTTTTCTCCTGCTCCCTGAATTGTTTGCACATAAAATACATTTTCTGGAGATTCAGTATGCTAAGAAGAAGCTACATCTGAATTGGAATGGATCATAAACATCTACCGGCTGTTGTTTAGCCAAAGCCAAAAATCTATATCGTTAAAAGTATTTTCATCTATAACCAATTGCATTTTTCAAAAACCTGGTTTGAGCAGCAGCTACAATTATTAGTCATTAAGTTTCTGGAAGTATTCCAAGGTCAAAATTTGTACAATTCTCTTCAAGCCTCTAAAATATTACATTTCCATGAGTATATTTAACTAAAAAAATAAGAGCAATGTATATAATGTCTTGAAGCTACCGGTAACATATTAATGTAGATTGTAATAACCAGATTTATATAATTAAATCTCTTAATTCAGCCTATACTTTTTTTAATAAAAAAAAGGTAAACAAAAATGTGGACTATTGATTTATCTGCCCAAATTACAGGATGATAACAATATCGGAGGAGTTACAAAAATTACCATTCTTTAGAGCAGGTGGCTGAGGAATTCTGGGAGTTGAAGTCCACAGGTCTTAAAGTTGATAAGATTGGGCACCCCTGCTTTAGAATAAATATTTGTGTTAGACTCTAAATCAGGGGGTCTTCAAACTTGGCCCTTCTGTGACTTGTGGACTTCAACTCCCAGAATCCCTCAACCAGGGTGCCTGGCTGAGGAATTCTGGGAGTTGAAGTCCACAAGTCATAAAAGGGCCAAGTTGGAAGACCCCCTGAGGTAAACAGTCCACCGTCAGGAGATTATTTTAAAGTCCCTAGAATAGATAAGTAGATTATGAACTATTTTCACATAACCCCCTGTCTATCACCGGATGTCTGTTCCATTCAGAACAGAGTCTAAAATTGATAGCCATTTATGCAAACCTCCGACCCGAAATGTTAATTGAGGTTGTCTTTGGTCTGGCAAGGCCTGATAACATTTTATTTGTGAATGAAATATTCCTTTCTCTCTTTTTGCCTTTTTTTTTTTTAATCCACTGTATGGACAAGGAAGCTTAATGAATTTAATTGCAAGGCTATTCTGCTAGACATTAGATAGCTTATATTTATATACTTGTTTTATTATATAGTATATTAATCTTCCTTTGGAAAAAAAAGACTATATATAAAATTTAGTATTACTATCAAGGAAAGCCTTAATAACTGCTAGCTAAGCTCCTTAGCTCCCTCTGATGGAGGACCTTAAATATGTCTATTTAATATTGAACTTTTAAAAAGATTAACTAGTATGGCTATTTTTTTCACCGGCAAAAAAAATATTCCATAAGGCAATACCAGTCTTTCAGAATCCAAAAGACAAAAAAAATATATTAATGTTTTATATTGTTTCTGCACTTATATTCTGACTGCCACTGAAGGATAACATTAATTACCCTTTGGCTACTTGGGAACTAAGCAATTGAACAGACCCGACCTATTAATAATTGCAATCTATTTAACCCAGCCTTCTTCTTTTTTTTTTTTTTATTAAAAAGTTTTATAAATTTTACAGAAAATAAAAGACAATACAAAAACAAAAAACAACATATAAAAATAAAAAACAAACATTACCCAACAAAACCCCCCTTCCCCCACCCCTACCCAACCCCCCCCCTCCCCCCCCGACCCAGCCTTCTTGAGCTTCTATATTATCATATAAACAAGATCAAATCAAATCAGAACTGTTTCTATCAGGGTTGGTTCATCAAACAAACATCTGGGTCTAAACCTCATGAGTATTAGGACGGCTTATTCAGTTTTTTTTGGTCTCAATATCTTTTGTTCAAGAACTTGTTCTTAGGCGGAAGCCATCCTTTCTCATAATTTGGTTCTCCAGAAGTTGTGAATGCTCCAACACTGGAAGTTTTCAAGAAGAGACTGGACAACCATTTGTCTGAAAAGGTATAGGGTTTCCTGCCAGAGCAGGGGGTTAGACTAGATGATCTCCAAGGTCCCTTCCAACTGTTATTCTATTCTATTCTATTCTATTCTATTCTTCATTCCTCTATTCTATTCTATTCTATTCTATTCTATTCTATTCTATTCTTCATTCCTCTATTCTATTCTTCATTTCTCTATTCTATTCTATTCATTCCTCTATTCTATTCTATTCTTTTCTACAGTATTCTATTCTTCATTCCTCTATTCTATTCTATTCTATTCTGTTCTGTTCTTCATTCCCCTATTCTATTCTATTCTATTCTATTCTATTCTATTCTATTCTATTCTATTCTATTCTATTCTATTCTATTCCATTCCATTCCATTCCATTCCATTCCATGATTTGTTTCATTTATTTTATCTAATCTTGGCATGTAACATAACTGCAGTGATTCACTTAAGCAACAGTGGTTAAAAAAAAGGTCATAAAACGGGACAAAACTCACTTAACAATCGTCTTGCTTAGTAAGAGAAATTTTGGGCTTAATTGTGGTCGTAAGTTGAGAAGTACCTGTATGGAATGAGTATATGTGAGGTTTCTTCTTAATAATAATAATAAAGTTGGAAGGGACTTTGGAGGTCATGTAGTCCAACCCTTGCTCAGGCAGGAAACCCTATACTATTTTAGATATACAGTATGTTCCTATCACTCTCTCCCTTAATTTTTTTTAAAAAGTATGGGTGCTTTCAGCTCATTGTAGACAGATGCTGCATACACAGTTTGGGGAGATCAAATCTCAATGCTAATTCTTAGAGCAAACAAACTGCTATTTTTAATTAATAAACTGCCAATGATGCACTAAATTACAGTTTCCCAATTCTTCTAGCTTGTCCATGATTCATCCTAGCCCTATGCCAACTTAATTAACATTTTTCAGAAATAAATATTCAGAAAGAATATTCACCAAGCCACAAGCTCCTGAAATTGTTGAATAA